TTAGCCAATCAAGGCACAGCGATGATATCATATTGATTGTAGAATGACACCTGTCATGAAGTTATTACAAATAGAGCTCATGTAATAGAGTTTTAGTCAGAGTGAAGAGAAAGTAGAATAAGACCGAGAGCGGTCCAACCCATAACACCATTTCAATGTCATAGTAAATTTCTCACTCAAATCTGCTTCGCAAGATTTCAAAATGTCACTTGTGAAAAGAAAAGATAAAAATTTGAATGGATAATTTTTTTTTTTTTCAATTTCAGGGATATTTGCAATAGTATGTTTGGTAGCTCTCGGGTTTCAGAGGCTGGTTTCCTCTGCACCGGCTAAGAAAGCCACGCCACAACCAACAAAAAGTCCAATAGACATCCACTGCAACCTTCATGACAACATCCGCAGACTTATAAATCAACTTCCAATGGCTACGGGTAATCTCGAGCAAAAGGTTTATAAACGTTACCAGAGACTCGTAAGTGTAGATGAAAAACGATATTTGCACAACCTCTTGCACTTGCACCCGGTAAGTACCCTAGTCACTTAGGTTGATTCAGCACTTTGATAGATCTTTGAAATGTGACGTCAATCGTATGGAAAACGACTTCCGGGTCCACCAACAAGAAGCAGTTCTATCTTATTTTTTCTATAGATAGGATAGGATTTGTTGTCTAAAGATCTGTTTCCGGTAGAGTTTAAATAATTGAAAAAAATTTCAAATTACTTTAGCGGTTATTGTCACGACTTTGTGCTTCGTTCGGGCTTCGGGTCAACCAAATAGTAAACTAATAGACATTAATTAGTAGAGAGCAAACCATAAAAACGTGAAAAAGTTAACTAACAAAATTGTACAAAATAGTGCAAAGTTTTGTAGGTCTATGGTCTACTGAGGTCTACTGAACTTAATAATTTTTGCAAATTTTGTGCAATTTCTTACAGTTTTTAACGGATTTATGGTTTGCCCTCTATTATAATGATTTGCTCAATATTTGTTTGTTTTTTTTCGATCTTTGAAGACAAAGCTTTGGTCAGGTTCTGCTCAGACAGGCAACCAACTCCAACTATTGCCAGGCTCAATTCAGTCAAACCTAACTATCCTGCTGGATGGCTTAATGGTGATATAATTCAAGCTACCCAAGTATTATTGCAGAATGTAAACCAGTCAATTGAGGGATTTCAGCGCCCAACCCTAGGAAGAGTAAGGAACTTTGATGTAGTTTCGGGAGAATTTATTCAGATTTTGCATACAGGGACTGATCACTG